TTTTCAAATTGTTATTTTACTCTGTGTGACCAAGTGATGATTTTGACGTCTAGATGAAATTCTTTACATTGCTGACTTCAAAAAATTCTCTCAGTATCCTACATTCAGGGTTATGGTAATAGATCTGGCTACCCATGGAGGAACTTGATTCCCATCTGTATTAGCAAGGGAGTTGGAAGTCAATGTTTTTTACCCCCAGCCACAAACAACACTGAGAAGACAACGACTGCTGCTTGCCGGTACTACCATGCAATGTTACATGAGCAGCCAAGCACAGGGAGAATGCTTTGTTTGCCAAGTACTGCCAAGTTCTCCTGCAGCCTCACGAACATTATCGCCATCTTCCAATCACCTAATAACTTTCTTGAGAGAAATCGGCAGGAGTCATCTTTCTTATTGTATCAAAGGATCAATTCTGATTTTCTGTGTATTACTACCACTAACTCAGATGAATTGAGGAAGATATTCCTGAGATGAAATGTGCTCAGGGTTTAAATATAATTGTCCCTCACTTTGATGGACATAATTTATACAAGCTAGCCAAGAGCATTTATATTTAATCACATAGGAAAGTCTTAATTTTAGGTAGAATTCCAGTTAAAATACTAAGAACAAAATATTTTGTCTTTTTGTTTCTTCCCTAGACAAGTCTTAGTCATTTTTCTTATTAGCAGCCTAAAATATCATACTGGTATCTAATAAAGCTCTATTTACACATATGAATTTCAGTATTTAGCCTTCCAAAAACAATCCTGGATAGATCATGCCATAAGAACACAGTAGTAAGGTCACTAGTAGTGACTCTTCTACTTTGTTTGCACAAAACCTGACAGCTTGACTCTATAATGGACAAGAATACCCCCAAAAGAAATGCCACTCTGAAAGCATTTATTCCTGCAAAATTGATGAGCTGATAAACATAACAAGGAATACTCAAGACATGGCCACACATAAAGGCCAACATGAAATAAAGGCCTTAAGCACAGTGCATAAACCAGTGCACACTAAATGATGAACCACTCTCCTCATAGTGGGGAGTGTGTGTGTGTGTGTGCAAGAATGACCATTTTTATACACTGCATGCATAATAGCCATCACTCAAAAATACTAATTAAAATAATTATCCAGACACTCGGGACCTTTATAGTAAAGATGTATAAAATAATATTTTAAACACCTACGACTGCCTACACTGTTGATTCTTTGCTATGGGGATCACACTGGGAGTTCAAGATGTTAGAAATGGAGAATGCTACAGAAAGAAAGAAAAATAAATTGAATTCTTCCCAGTAAACACCTTGTAATTTGATGATACATAATGAATGATTACTAGATTTGCTTAGCAGCAAGAGGTATGTTTCGGTCACCCAAACAGTACTTCCCAAATCAATCACAAAATAAAAACCATGATTGATTGTTGTTACTCTACACCAAAAAGCAACCTATGGAATGGTGAATGGGATTACCCATGTTTCTTTGATCTTTTCCAAACAGATTTCACTCAATAAACTGCTTATATGTTTTTATAATCACATCATACTAGAGGCTGTTTTTCACTGTCAGGAAAATTTCTCTGGGTGAGAATGAAGAGTAACTAAAAACAGGTCCACAGGGATTTCCTGAAGAGGAGTAAACAGCTTTTCTAGACTCCAAGATGGGTGAAGAAAAATTTGTCTTCAGCTGTACTAAAAGGAAAAATTTCTCTGAAAGCATTGACAAATATCTTCCTACACAAACTATACTCTGACAAAACCACAACGTACATACACCTCTGCTATTAAACATTTGATGCAAGGACAATTTCTATTAAATCTTAAAGGGACACAGTCTCAGATAACAGTTGCATTCTCCCCAACTCATATTGCTTCATCCTCATTCTGCCTGAACTTGGGAGAAAACGTGTGATAAAATAAGGGGGCTGAGGAGGAATTCCCTGTTACGTGGGAGAACTGCAGCAACACAGGGCTGTTAAAGACAAATGGCAACGGGACAGGGGATAATAGCTGCTAATGCAAGACATTATGCACAATGTGGGAAGGAGAGAAACAGGGTGAAATCTTGGGTGAAAATAATATTTTGTGAATGTATTTGTAAATTTGAAGCCATGTGTGCTTTGAAACCTATTTAAGGAACATACTAGTATCATGTCTTCACCACGACATTCATTTGTTGACATTTTAACAATAACCAGAGACTTACAAGCCCTATTCATGTCAACCTGCCACTATGTTTGAAAGGCACTGGACTTGCTGATCTACCTTTAGCCAGTTTCCCTTGTGTACAGCTTTAAGGTATCACTGAAAAAATACAGAACTTCACAGGGTACAAACTGTTCTTATATAATGAGAAGGCATACGATTAGCTAATAAAATACATTAATATAATATCACGCACAGAAGGAAATAAAATACATTTCTGCAGAAGAGATTAGCATAGATATTCAATGGATTAGGAAGTTTCAGTGACAGAAGGTATATTTAGTATATAAAATCTACATAATGAGAAGCAGTTGAAAAAATAGGACACCTGTCATGTGTCCAAGAAATATCTTCATAAAAAAGCTGTCACATATAAACACTTCTCAGCAACAAAACCCTCTGCAATTGAACAAGGCAAATTCAATTCTGAATGTAGAATGTGCCTCAACATGGATCTTATAATTACTAATATCCTTGAGCAACTGGATATCTACAAATTCAAACAGCACTTACCTTTTCCTGTTAAATAACTCCTGCCTGACATTTATGATTAGTTGTACATACAGACTGTCAGTTTATTCTAGTAAAAGGACAGTTAAAAAGGAATACAATCAATGTGTATAAATATACCCAGAGGCAAACACCTGAGAAGGGTAGGAACTAATTAAGCTCAAGGCCAATGCTGGCAGAAGAACAAATGCTAATAACTTGGCCATGAAGAAATTCAGGTTGCAAACAAAACAACCTGATGTTTTCAGATGAAAATTCACAATTTTGTGATCAAGATGACCTGGGTGTTTTGAGTAACCAGGGCTTGACTCAAGAGCCCAAGGATGCCCCTCACTTCCAGTTATACATCCTAAAAACACAATGAATTTTAACACTCTTGCAAAACAAACAGATGTTAAATCCTGCAATAAACCTGCTCACTGAAAAAATTACTATATTGGCTATAAATGATAAGATAAAAACACCTATAAACTCAGAAATTAATGAATTCCCAAAGGCTTAAAAATTGTTTTGCATAGTTCCAGAAGACTATTGACTCTCTTTTAAACTATCACAACTCTGAAGGATTTCCAGCAACAGGTAGAGCTGCTTAAATCCTGTTACAACAACAAATTCTGAAAGGTCCCTTCACTTTCTACCAAAATTCCTTATTCTTGTTCCAGCCCCGAAAAAATGAGACGCGAAAAATGCTGACAGACCATGTCTTACCACAATAGAAAATAAGAAATAACTTTATAATCTTTCATGCCTCATGGGACTTGTTTTCATTCTGCCTATCACAAAACTTCAAGAAGATAATACTGAAGAATAACCAGTGCACATGTGGGATACGCCAATCAATTACACACACGGCACATTCACTGCCCTTTTCCACTGATTTTAGTAAATTTTATACACAAACCTAAAGAAAACACACACATTAAGCAAGTACTTCAGAATATTCAATGTTTTGGGTCATGGGGTACTTTTTCCAAGCTGTGAAACTAGCGAACTTTTCATTAAGAAAATCTGCTCTAGAGAGGTGAACCATTTAATCCTTGGACTAGACTGATTTGTGCTTCTTAAGGAACCATGAGGAATCTGCTCTATTGTCAGTTGATCCTCCACCAGATCCACAATTTAACCTCAGCTTTTACTAATAAGTATATTTGCAGTCATTAAATACAACAGCCTTTTATTTTGAGTCTTTTGCAATACTCATGTTCACCAGAAATGCCATTTTGATCAATCCAAACTTATTTTTCAAAGTGCAGAACAAATTAATTGCTTTGCTTCACCTAAAAAAATATTTTCCTTTCTTTCTCTTCCCCCCCCTTTTTCTTTTATCAAAAGTTAAAAAAAAAAAAAAAAAAGCCAAGCCACAAAATGCATACAATGACCAACTATGGATGTCATTGATAATCATAATTTTTTCTTCCTACAATATATTTGTAATATAGCACACATGCAACTCTCAAGCAAGGAACACTCAAGCAATCCTAGTCTAGGATGCCCAGACCACAATATGACAAACATTCTCTTTCTGGACAAAAGTATTCTTAAATTCTTACAAAAACAACAAAGAAGATGGTGATCACTGCCAGTTTAGTGATCTTCTGTGTCAATTGATAATGATACCTATGTTTATCCTTAAATACTGTTGCTTTGTTTTATTAGAAATATTATTTGGGGTACAAAAATAATTTTGTTCATCAGATTGGTAGGGGTTTTTTTTTCAGAAAATATCCTTTTCAGTTTCATCTACTTTTCACTTCAGACTGAACCAGAAATCAATTATTTCCAAGGTTCTAAAGTGAAGTTATTAAAAATTGCTTTATACTCTCAAAATTCTTCTTTCTTTTCTTTCTTTCTTGCAAGGAAAATACCTATTTTCAACCAAGACTTACTTGCAACAGATGGAGGACATTTGCTAGTATAGCTTCTTTTTTTTTTTTTTCCACTCTAGTGTGCTTTGGTTTTTTTTTAAATAGCAGTGCTGCAGGTGGTAAAGATAATACTATTATATACATATACATATCTATATGCAAGGAAACATACATTCACCACTATATTGCTATTTATGGACTGTAAATTTCTAAGTAATTAACAGGAAAAATAGGGCCAGCTTTTGCAGGTGGAAAGTGAACGTACTTACAGAAGCTCTAAGGAAATTTTCATTGTGCTAATGCAGTGCTATGATTGTTCAAAAAACTGAGTGGATGTGATGACTCTATAAATACACACACTATTCTTATTCAGAATTCAGGACACTGTATCTCACTGAATTCTTATTCTGCCTCATTTAATACTTACAGGCAGACTGTAAGAAGGTTCCAGTATCACTGGCACTGACATCTTCCCTTGAAGATTCAATTTTGTCAAGTAAAAAATCTTTTCTCCCACAATCCTCTCCTTTTTCATGCGCCGTACGCTGTACAGTCGAAAGCGAACTGCATAATTCCCAATCATCTCAGACTCGACGTGATTAAATTTGAATGTCTCTGTGAAGACAGGGCACGGTCCCCGCTGGATGCTGGTTTTTGCTCTCTGCTTCTTTATAGGGAGAAGAACTAGGTGTACTTGCCACGAGCTCCCACCTGTCCTGCTGTATGTTGGAATGTCTGTGACAGCTGTCACTGTCACCAAAAGCTTCTGTTCCTGTGAGTCATAGTCAAAAGTCACATCCAGTGTGCCATATTTAGCTACTGGCTCAGGATCAAAAGGTTTAGGAAGCTGTGAAGATGATCCTCGAGCTGACATATCCTGATGAAGAAGAGAAAAAAATCCAATTATTTATTTATTTATTGCATTCTATTTTTAAATCTGGCATGGAAATTATGGTTTACTCCAGACAATATGAAGGCACTATGATCTTTCTGTTCATTTCCTAAACAAGGTTATTAAGCACTGAAAGCTCAAGGAGATGGCTGGCTGGCAGTCAAGATGAAATCAAGACTTCACCTGACCAATAGCCACCAAAAGCCAGGAGCCAACCAGACTGAACTGAGATTGAATTAAGCTGCAATGATCTCTTCTTCTGTGCCTCACATGTTAAAAAGTATATACACTTGTTACAAGATAAAACCACCTTATTTCACGTATTTTACACATGTACTTTAAAGTTCACTTGTTAAATTGTTTGAAGAGACAGCTAATGATTGAGAGCACAGTGAGATGCCAACAAAGAATACAGGAATTACAAACCTTGCACACACAGCTCCTGTTGCAGTCCGCAAGAGTTATATGACTATGCCAAAAATTATCGCAGAAACATAGAAACCGAAAATTTTGGGTTGGAAGGGACCTTAAGGATCTTTTAGTTCCAACTCCTCTGCTATGGCCAAAGATGTTGCTATCATGGCTTTATTAATGAAATGTTACTGGAACTGTAGAAGATGCATCTGTTTTGAACTCATCTTCTGAACTCTCTGTAAATCATACCAGTCCTAAAATTGTATTTTAAACTTAAAATTCAGATGGTTTATTGTCACTTCAGATTTTGAATAAACTACTGATCCCCTATAAAGTTACAACAGCCAGTTGGATAGGGATACTGAAGCAGAAAATATTTACAAGTACAGGTCAACTCACTGCTCATCCAAGTATGTAAAACAAAGGTATTTAAGTGTGTCTTCACATTATTAAAAATAAGCAATGTTTACATGAACAAAGAGATGCCAAGACAAAGCCTTCTGGGCTAAGAGATATTCTTATTTTAACCTGGTCGCCAGATAGCTGTGGGAATGCATTCCTCTAAAGGCTTCACTCCTGAAGCTTTGAGTGGCTATAAAAAAACGTTGGCAGCATTCTCAGTTCTTACTGAATATGCTTACATTAACAACTGGAGTGACACAAAATGGAAAGGCCTTGCAGCTGGGCCTTCCAGACCTTGCACCAATACCCAGGTACACATCATCCACTTACCAACAGGGCTGCTTAGATAGAAACATCAGGGCTGAGCTCTAACACACACTTCAAAACTTCTGGCAGCAACAAAAGACAAATTTGTACCAAAAGAGCTTCTTCTGCACATGGCATCACTAATTAGACTTCACCCATAGATGTCAGTGCAGTAACTGGTTGTTAAAGGCATTTCAATTAAATACATGTCAAAAAAGATGGTTTCTTCACAGAAAAAAATACATATATATCATTACAATTTATAGCAGAAAAATAGGAACATTAAGTGGCCCAAATCACTATACAACATCAACAATTGAAAAGAAAACCTTTGTAATTTTTTTTTAATAAAACTTATTTTACATTATGGGATGTTCAGTTTGAAAAACCATTAACATAACTTTTATTTGAGTTGTCTGAAAAATAATGTGGAAGAATTTTGACTACATTCCTTACAGTGTGATGCAATTTTCTGACTTGTTTAAAATGGTTTAAAAAATAATTCACTCTTACTGGGAGCTGGTTTGAAAGCTAAGATGCCACAAAGATATCTACAGCAATCTTAACAATCTGAAATCCTACTGTCCTATTTTCTGACAAACTACTTTTTTTTAAAATGAAATGAGCAGGAATATTAGTGCCTGTATAACTGGCAGTGATCTTTAGATTAAAGAAGTGCTTCACCACGGTCAACTCTTTTAATTTACCTCTGGACTCAGAACTGCTGTGCTATCGCTCGGAACATCCTCTTCATATCCTTTGTTATGAAAGCTTTCTATTTCATGTCCCGTGCTTCCCTCACTTGGGCACTTATATGAACATCTTGGGCTGTTGCTACACTGGGAATATTCACATTTGCTGTCTCCGACTTCGGAAGGCGTACAGGAAAGATGAGGAGAGCCACTGTCATCCTGGTACGGAGGCGGCTGTAGTTCATCCAGCGGAGGTGTTCTTCTCATCCTCTGAATGCAGTTTGCTGAGAATAAGTGAAAATGCTTTGCTTACTTTCTGATTATTCATTGTTCAAATAGTTCTGTGGAAAATGTAAACCTAAATGCCTGGACAGAGAATTTAAAAATCTATGTATGTCTTTTTTTTTAAACTTTACATTTCAAAAAAAATTTGTTCAAAATGGAAATGAATGATCTCTCAGATGAAAGAAATTTAGATAAAAGCAAAGTTTTAAGTGTATAGTCAGAATAGATTGTGCAAACCACATGTAAATAAATATAGCACGGATATGACATGACAAAAATTCAAGGCTTGAATGTCAGGGATGCTTACCTTGCAAAAACCTTTGGATATCTTAATTCAGATTCTGTGCAGATGGAATGGAGGCCAATTATGGAAACAAAATGCACTCCCTAAAGCCATGATATCAAGCTGATTACCTCCCATGCAGTTGCCCACCAGGGAGATACTAAATTAAACTCTGAAGACAAGTAAGGTACTAAAAAAGACAACCTTTCACACAAATGAACTCCGCTCACCAGTGAATTTAAAAAGTGAAGCAGCATCTCAGATTCCTTATTACTTCTTAAGGACAACTAAAGGGTATGTATCCAGTGTCTGGAAGTTACACACTACCTCTAATCACTAAAGACAGTGGAAAAAGGATCATGAGCAATCTTGTGCTTGGGATGAACACTTGATGCTGACCATCTTTGCTTTTCACACTAGATAGATAGATCGATACAAATATGGTTATACATCTCAGAAATTAAACCTGATGCATTGGCTACAGACACAGAAAGTTAATTCAAAATAATTACATTTCAATTTTTTATTTCATATTTTACTATGCAGCATTACACAGTTGAATAGAATTGGGAAAAGACAGCAAGGTGTGCAGCAGCTGAAATGAAAGGAATGTCAAGGACAGGTGAAGAACTGTCTCATATTTTGTTGACATTTTCTGTAGCAGTTTCAATGAAGATTTCAATGCCCCTGACATAAAGAATTACCTTATACATAACAATTTCAAAACAAAAATGTTTTCTGGTGTCAAACATACCATTTCACTTACAGAAAAACCTACCAAACAAGAAAGTTAAAGAAAGTATTAATTGGGGAATGCAGGGCTCTTCTCTATTTCAACAGCTTTTGGAAGAACCATGGCAAAAAAGTAATTAAAACACTCCTAGAAGATGAAACCACTGTCAGGGACTCATCAGAACCCTCATCTCTGATAAACCCATCAGAGCCAGCCTGCCATTCAGAGTGATTCCAAAATACTGTTCCAGCACTCCTGCAAAACCTTTTCTGCTGTTAGTGAGCCAGTGCTACTAACTCTTTAAAATCCAGTCCCACAGGACTGGAAAACAAAACAGGCAGCAGGGAATCCTATACTTGAATTGTAGTCATCTGTCTGGCAGATAAACATAAAACCTCACCTATGAATATGAGACAACTCATACCCATGAAACTAGATAGACATAAAATCTAAACTGATACTTTAATCATAATAAAATGAGGAAGTGTATCATTTGACTGCCTATACCATGAAAACTGGACTTCCTTGTCATAATCTATATAATTAAATATTTTAGAAAAATCAGAAAAATAGCATGTATTTTCTTCTCATTGTTGCCAAAAGGCAACAAACAGCATTAAATGAGACAGTAACCACCTGGCAGCCCCAAGTTTCTTTCTGTTCACATGCCACCAAGTCTGATAAGAATTTTTAACACCCAGCTTTTCCATAGTCTGATGAAATGACAGTGTGTCCAGGTAGTTATCAACACCATTATTGCCTTACATGAGTAAATAAATGACTGTATGACTCACTTTTTTCACTTTGATGAACTCTATTATATGTCCCTGTGGGAAAACTGTACAGGCTGTGTGACAGAAAAGGTGCTTTTAATGTAGGCATGGAAGAAGTCAAGACAAAATTCTTATTAACCAGCTATGATTCAAAAATCTCAGAAAAAACTAAAACACTGGGGCAGATTTTAACTACATATTTTTCAAATTTCAGTTTAACAAACTTAAATAGCATGTAAATTCTTAAAACAAGTATCTGGGATTAAAAATCTAGAGACACCTCTGTCTAGAGAGTTATAAATTGGTTTTGAACAACAGCTTTCTCTACAAAAAAAGATACCAAAATTTTCAAATTAATTCTCAAGATGAAACTGTCTCATTTTAATTTCCCCCGCCCCACAGTAAATGATGCAATAAAATGAAATTTTTTTGTTACGGTTCTTTGAAAACCATGAAGATTTGAATTCCATCGAGACTGATGATATCAAAGCCAAATGATATCACAGACAGTAGTGAATACAGCAATACTAAATATCTGATCCTGGGTATTTTCCTTAAAAATTACTTAGAAGTAGGGACAATCTGTCTAAAAAAATTTGCATACGTATCAAAGTTTAAAGTACAAAACCACTGCTAGTGCTTGCTGGCTTATCACTAATTGTATTGGAGAAAAACATTTGGAGCTGAAAGGCAAAATGATCTGAAGTGTGCATATTTACACATGAAACCCCTGTGTGTTACACACCTTGTACCTTTTATTTAAGGTGTAAGTTTCAGACACAGCTATGCATACTTCTGTACCATGACAAAGCCAGAGAATACCTCCCAAAAGACCACTGAATGTGGCTAATAACATCTGCTAAAGAGTTACAAGCAAATGGGTACACTGAAAATCTAAAATTAATCATTGCATTGCTTCTATGCAAGTTACAAATCACATAGAAAAATACATTTTGCAAATTCATTTGTAAATTAAATAAATCATATTATATAACCACATCACCTTGGACTAGATAGGGTAAAAAAACAAGCTAGCATATGTCCCAAAAGTGGAAGTAAGACACAATCACAGAGAAATCAAATCATGTTTAGTCTAAGGCTCCGACCAGCCAGAAAATGGCATAACAGAGAAAAGACAAATAGAAAGAAAGAAGAATAGAAAGACAGAACCTTACATTCAGTTCTCTCCACCCAAAGTATGCGAAAATACTTGGCATTCTCATGATACGAGTGAAACTAAATTTGTTTACATGCCTCTATAGGACAGATTGCAAGTCAAAGGGGGATGATACATACCTTGCCATCAACCTCAAGAGACTCACAAGTTAAATCTGACACAGCAACCTAGGCCAAACTGAGCATTCCTGGAACATACAATTGGTAACTATGAGAAAATCCAGAAAATTTTCAGTCATTTTGCTGGGATGGAATCAAAGTTTAAAGATACAGGAGTTTACCATCAGAAACGCTTTCAGTTTTGAATTACTACTTGAAATTGCTTCTTCCAAAGCTGCTCATTTCTCCTCTCTGTTCTGGTCTCTCATGGACCACGCTAGGCTGCACATCTCGCCATGCAGCCGGTGATGTTCTTTTCCCATGTTTACAGCATTCAGACTTTCCTATCATAATTATTTTTCCCAGAGGTTCACAGCAGCAGCACCAACCCAGTCTCCCTCAGTCCATATTTCCTGAGTAATTCCAAGAACACCCATCTCTTAATGTGGAAAAAGAAACTACCCTTGTACCTTTAATTCCCCTGTCTCAAAAGCCATCACTAACTACACTTCTACAGCTTCGAGTTTCTCATGTACAGTACTTCTTTAAAAATTCACACTGTTGTGGGAGGCAACAGTATCACAACACCCCTATTGGAATCTGGCTTCCAGTTCCTTTAAAATAAATAATCACTTCATAAACCAGTAATTTTTGCAAGTCATATTTTGTAATTGTCATACTCAAATGGTACCTTTCCTTTCTCTAATATATCTCTGCTCACACTCTGCTACATAATTATTTATTTTTTTAATAAAACGTAAATTTCAAGTTTTCAAGCCTTCAAGGGGTTCTATGTAAATGTTAAGATAATTTAAATAAAACATAAAATGAAATACATGTTTAAAAATTAAAGAAACCTTTCTTATTCTGAATGATTAAATACCCTTAGAGATTTCTGATAGGCAGCACAGACAGTCCAAATGGAATTTTCATGTTTGAACTTTTCTACCATCCAAAAATATCATGTTGACTGAATTACCCCACATTACAGGGAGTATAAATACAAACACTGAATATTGAATGAAACCTCAGGCCTCTGCTTCCTTTAAAATTAAAAGCTTACATGTATTTTTGTGAGGACAAAACTCAAATTATTTCACAGAACAACAAATTACTTAGGCATTATTCTATTTCTTTTCCAAAAGAGTTATGGCATGAGTCATGCTTAATGAAAAAAGGGGAATATAGGAGCGGTATGCAATCATTGTGGACAACAGAAAAAAAATTCTTTGTTTTTGCATTTGCTTTCCTTTTGCATTTGCCACATTTTAGACTTCTATTCACAGCTGAACTATCTTCTACATTAGACAATTCACCGTAAACAAGAAAAAGTATAGTATTTGTTTGACTGGGGTTTTTTTCCCAGTAATAGATAACTCTGTTTCCTAGTATTTAGAAAATTCCATACACTATGAGCTTACTCCCAGACCTATGGAAATCAAAACAGCATTGTTGTCATTTACACCTGATGTTATGTGAAGCTTTTAACACTGCATTTTCCTCACCCTCTCAAGCTAATGCTACTGGTCATTCATGCAATGAAAAAGGTTCACTTTTGCTTTTTAAATAAAAGTAATTCAAAATGATAGAATTATCTTTATGTCCAGTCCTTAAAACTTCAATTTTCTCCCACAGGAAAGGTCTAAGACCAACTGAAACACACAAAGTAATTTTTTTTATTGTGTCTGTTTACATCTTGAGCCTGTAGAATTACAGCTGTGTTTTGTTTCCCTAAAAAAGAAATTTATTCCTTGCTCTCTGTACTTACTAAAGCACTTCTTATTTGTAAGAATTTATGGTCTGTTTTACAGAATAATACAGAAAAGCCCAGCACTAGTGAAAAAAAATCTCTTTCCAAAATTAGCGCAATTTATAACATTTTAACTACAAATACATTATTAAAAGCATTATCGTGAACTAGCTGTCAAAGACATT